GGCAGAGCTGCTGGAAACCGTGGGTGGCTGGGCAGTGTCCTTGAGCGGGGCGTTTTGCAGCAGACATGGTTATTGCAGTACTGTCATCTAACTTGGGTAGTGTGTCTGTAAGCTTGCCTATATTAAACTACTGTTCTCTCTTATTCCAAGCCAGTACCTTCTTACCTGGCAATCACATTTTCTTCCAGTATAGGATCTTAATTTAGAGGCATTTTCTGCCTTTCTTCAGAGCCAGCACTGCTAACAGCCAGGAAGATAAGTTGGTATTATTTGTTCCTGTATATTATAAACAGGATTATTCATTAAGTTCCTAACATACGGGTAAGCAAGCTGTAGCAAGTTGCCCTGATGTGGCCTGCAGGTTTCTGGATTAGCAGTCATGCCTGGTGAGAAAGGAATCTATCTTCATTTTTTTCAAGATCCCCAAGACTCCAGGGCACAGAGGTGAATTTGACATTTTCTGTCTTACTACCTGAATTCAACTGTGACGGAAGCAGTAAAGACACAACCTTCACACTACAGGTCATAAGCAATTTTAGATGAGCACATGCTTTAAAAACTTGTAAATTACTGGACTGCTAAGTGAATTAAGAAATAAATGCTAAGTCTTGCAAGCTTCTCAGCTTGCTTAGCAGAGTAAAATGCTCTAAATTCTGGGCAGTTCTTTCAGGGACACTGAGTAAATATTTTAAGAGGTTGGTGCATCTGGCTTTGCAGATGCTGTCACACCAATTTGGAGAGGATAAATGAAACTTCTTGAGTGAGACACGGTTAGAAGTAAAATTAAGGAAGAAACAATAATTGAAAAAAAGAAAAAAAAGGCGTGTGAGAGAAAGTATCAAGTCAGCTCAATGTTTCACAGGGGTAGAAGTGAAAATAAATTTTTCCTGTTAGTAGGGCTTTGCGTATTTTGGTGAACATGGTTTCTGTAGGCTGTAGGGACAGAATTGGAGATTGTGGAGCTAGAATTGAAGGAAAGGATCTCCAGAGAGTGAATGTAATCAGTGGTGATTGTAAGCCTAGAGTGAAAAAGGAGGTTTATGTAGGGTGGAGATGCAACTGTGCTGAGAAAAAAGAAGACTTGAGGGTGATGGCCAGCGTAGGAAAGGTTGGAGGGGAAAACTAGAGAGAGTGTAACTGGAATGAATAGAGTACGTTCCCTGACAACTTGAGCAGAATAATAATTTGGGGAAAGGAATTGAATCTGTGGCTGGACTCTTCCAGATTGGATCATCGGATAATTCAGGTCGGAAGGGACCTTGAGAGGTCTCCAGTCCAACCTCTTGCTGAAGGCCAGGTTAGTTGGGAGATCGGACAGGGTTGCTCAGGGCTTTGCCCATTCGGGTCTTGAAAACCTCCAAGGCTGGAAACAGCTCAGTCCCCTGCTCTGTTGCCTGACTGTCATCAGGGGGAGGAACCTTTGTTCTTTCAGTTTGAAAGGGCCTGTTGTCTCTCATCCTCCTGCGCTGCACCACAGCATGTGTGCCTGGCTCCATCTCATCAGTCACTGCGTAGGTACTGGGGGGCTGCTGCTAGGTCCCCCCAAACCTGTTCTCCGGGCTGAACTGGCCCTCTCACACAAGTGCTGAGCCTCCAGCCATCTCGGTCTCCCTTTGCGGAACTTGCTCCCGTTTGTCAACACGTACCTTGTATTGAGGGACCCAAAACTCAGTACAGGATGCAAGTGTGGTCTTACGAGTGTCAAATAGAGGGGCATAATACCTTCACTCGATCTTCTGGTTATGGTGTTCTTGTAGCCCGGGATGCTGGTGGCCTGTTGCCAGGCACACTGCTGGCTCACGCTCAGCCTCCTCTCTGCCAAGTCCCCCAAGGCCTGTTCAGGAGAGCTCTCCCTGGCCATTCAGTCCCCAGCCTGTGTTGTTGCAGGGACTCTTTCTTCCCACGTGCAGGACTGTACATCTGTCCTTGTTGAATTTCATGAGGCTCCTGTTCATGTAGCGTGTTGGGGACTGTCTGGACAGCAGCCCTGCTCTTAAGCTTGTGAACTGATTGTCATCCACCCCCAGGGCATTTCGTCCCCTCCTTCAGGTTGTTGATAAAGATGTTAAAGAGCTCCAGGAGTAGAGGTGGTACCCCACTTGTTACTGGTCTGTGGGCGGAGTATGACTTAATAACAACCACCCTCTGAGCCTGACCAACTGACTAGTTTTTTACTTGTCAGGTTGTGCACCCATCCAGGCCATAATACCTTAAATTGGATGCAGAAATACTGTGAGAGATGGTGTTGAAAGCCTTGCTTTCACCCACCCCATTGAGCAAAGGGCCTGCTTCTACTACCAGTGTATCAGCAGAAGCCCCTGTGCCCTTGATGTCCTTCACAAGCCTCAGCTGCGGGTGAACTTTGGTTTTCCTGACACCACCCCAACATGCCCGGGTGATATTTCTCATTCCTCCTTTGTGGCTTGGCCTGGCTTCTGCTCCCTGTGTGACACCTTTGTATATGGGAGCTGAGTCGCGAGTTCCCTGCGTAGCCGTGCCAGTCTCCTGGTACATCTCCCTGTCTTCCTCAGTGGACCACTCTTGCCCCTGAAGGGGCAAGAGCCCCGCCAGCTTTCCTCAGCTTCCTTCTCCTTCAGAGCTGCCTCTCGATGGACCCCATTTACCTCTTCCCTGACTGAGGTGGAGTCTGCTGACCTCATATCATTGGGTTGAAGGTAGAAGCCAGATTCTGGCCTTATTTGACTGAGTTTTACAGTCTGACTATGTATCGCAGAGGTGAACTTTCCTCCCTGTGCATATGACTCAACTCTCAGCAGCAGTGTTTTGTGATTTGCTGTGCTGTTTTGAGGTTTTTCTTCCTGTGCCGCTCTAGGACCCAGTTTTGCAGAGGAAGGCTGTTTGAAATGGCACTTCCAGGGCTTCACTGACGTCCTGACATGCCTGACTGCCACTGCAGGGGAAGATCCCTGCCCCATCACAGTTTTCTGCCTTCTGAAAGCAAACACTTGCCCTCACAGTGAATGTTTTAGAGCAGGGTGCTCTCAGATTGGAGGGCAAAAACAGACCTGGAGAAACACTAGTTCAGGTCTGGCCCAGACTGAAAGGAAGACTAATGCAAGCTGGTGTATAAAATTTGTGATGCAAGCAAAAGGTGAAGTTGCTGTAGCACATAGTTTATATGCATTCTCTAACTGGGGTTGAAAACTTGAACACCTCTCTTTTTTTCCACCGAGTTATGGAAAGCAGCACAAGCTTTATGCAGAACACTGAAATGCACATTCCTTCACAAGGAGAACCTGTGGTCTAAGAGGCTTTATTGTTGAATATGCTTTAAACTGGGGTTGATATTTTGCTTTTCAAAGATTCAGTGACATTGTTTGTGTAAGCCAGACATCTTTCTGATGCTCTAAAACTTGTTGGTTTCTCCAGAGGTGTTGATTGGACCCATTTTGGGGGGGACCCATTGGATTAAATGTAGTTACTGGGAAACTGTTGAGTTTAGTGTAAAACCTTTAAGAGAAATAATTGCCATTTTATATGCAATTATAATTGCATATAAAATTAATTGCAAGTTTTTGGCACTTGCATGTGGCACCTTGCATTGGCATTGTGGTTCTGGACTTGAACTTTATACAATGTTGAGACAGCAGTTTTTTGTGTTTAGAGGGCTGTGACTAGTAAATTACAGAGAGCTGCGTAGTAAATTACAAAGAGCTGCGTAGGTGTGTTGTCTCATTAGAAACTGGCATTTTGTTTTTATAACTTACTCCTTTTCCATTGTTGGAGAATGTAGCAGCTCTGTTGTAAAGAGCGTGTTGGATCATTTTACAAAAAGGGAGAAATGTAATTGGGTGACCTGTGTAACATTCTTGCTTTATAGTGTTTGCAAACTTGGAGAATGGTCTTACGTTCAGTGGTACTATACTTCGCTGTAGCCATTTCTTTTGTATTTAGAGGCTGCTTTCTTAGTAAAATGATGGAGGGATTTGTCTGGTTGGAAGACTGCTCTAGTTACTTTTGCCCTTAAAAAGTGCTAAAAGTCAATGATTTACAGGTTTTCCTTTGTTCTCCCTCCTCTTTACCCTCCACTTCCCCCTTCACCTTTAGGAAACTAGCAGGATGCACTCTCTTCATCACGGGCGCAAGCCGGGGCATTGGCAAAGCCATTGCTTTGAAAGCGGCCAAGGATGGCGCAAACATTGTGATAGCTGCCAAGACGGCTGAGCCCCATCCTAAGCTTCCAGGGACTATCTACACTGCTGCAGCAGAGAGTAAGTTGTAATGAATGAGGGTGGGCTTCAGGTGCTGGGCTGGGCGTATGCCCTAGCTTAATTGTCATACCTGAGTGGAAAACTGCGTAGACTCTCTTAGCTCCAATTCACCTTTAATAAAATAAGCGTAGTGCCTCTCTTGCCTCCCAGGAATGCTGGGAGGTATCAAAATATTACTGTAATGAAGATGTATGTGTATAGATGTGAAAATGTTAATTGAGGTGTGTGTGTGTATCATACCCATTCTCAGTGTCAAGATTTGGTTTCAGCTTCCCTGTTCTTTATGCAACATGTAAAAAGGTTGCAGTTTGAGAGCGCGGTTTTCAATAGTTCTTGAAGCATGCCATTGAATGAGAGATTCTCAGTAGGTTCATGCTGTTTGTTCCACCTGAGAGCAAATTTTTAAATGTTTAATTTTTTAACTGCGCAGTTGAAGCGGCCGGAGGAAAGGCTTTGCCATGCATCGTTAATGTGAGGGAAGAACAGCAAATTATTAATGCTGTGGAGAAAGCTGTGAAGACTTTTGGAGGTAAGCTAAGGTGTGGAAGAGACGTTAACAGGCAGATTGTTCAAACAAAAAGAGAAAAGAACAACCTGCCTTACTCGTGCTTTTTGCCTTTAAATGCTAATGTGAAATGGCTTACTTTAAAACCAGGGATTGATATTTTGGTGAACAATGCAAGCGCCATCTCTTTGACTGGCACTTTGGAAACAGAAACGAAGAAGGTCAATCTTATGATGGATGTCAATGTACGAGGAACCTACCTCACGTAAGTGATGAGAGAGGGAAGCAATGTAATTGTAACAAAATGTATGATATTATCTCAGTTTTTCTGAGAAACTGTGTAGCTGTCTTGCTGCCCTAGAGCTGGAGTGCAAGTATTCTACATATGTTGACAGGAAATTGCTCGGTTGTTAGCCAACTGATTTGAAATTAATGTTTGCAAGAATTAACTGCAAGTTGGAGTGAACAGGAGCCCTATTACTGTCGTCATTAAGTGTTCACAAGCCCCTCCATGCAGGTAGGAAGCAGAAGCTAGTTTATTTCAAATGGAGCTCCAGCTTGGCTTTGCTAAATGCTGTCTGCTCTTTCATTTAAAGCAAACTGACTGACTCTTTGCATAGATCAAGTGCAACATCTTGTTTGTCTGCTCCCTTCTCATAAGCTTCTTTCTCATCTTTAGAGACCTTCTATAACTTACGATAGTTAAAAGAGAAAAGTTAAAGATGTAACTTAATGATCTAAGGTGTTTTCTTTCAGCTTATCAATTCCATCATTTATTTAAATTACCCTACCAAGATTTGATTTCATAATTCCTGTAGTCCTTATTTTGCTCATTTTTTGGAAAATGGTGGGATCATCTTTAAATTTATAGGATGTCATTTAAAGTTGCTCTCTTACAAAATGAAAACTTTGATTTTGACGGGGTTGTATTTAAAAAAAAAAAAAAAGCCCACAGGATGATGCAGATTTTCTAAATTCAGTTGTTGCTTGATGTGATCAGGAGCTTTTGTATCAAAGTTTTATCTAGAATAGTGTCTGTCATTCTCCTTTGTGCAGATGAATCTGGTTATCAGGTATTATGATTATATTCCTTAATGTTCTTTTGCTAAGAATCAGTGAAGGGATTTGCCATTAGAATAGTGTAAAAACACGCATGAATAGCAGCTTTCTGAGTTAGAGAGACACGTGCACAGCATGGAGATAGAATGGAGAGAGAGAAGGAGGGTGGAAGAAAGAAAGACTCTGCTTGCAGAGTGGGATTTTTGTGCTTCCACTTGTGATGTCTGCTGTTGAAAGTAAGTGTAATCGGTTCTGCGCTCAGAAAGGAAAATTGGCTTTGGAGCTTGGCATTCCAGAAAGCACTCTGTGGATATCTCTTGCTAAATCTCTGAATGGGTTCCACTGTATTGCCAGTGGCAAGCTCCGTTTACCCCTCACCACCCAACAGCGACAATTACTTTCTTGATAGTACATCTAGCTATTCCAAATTAATGGGAATTCTTAAAGGCATCTTTCCTTTGGGTGCTACTCTCCCTTCAAAAGATTAAAAAGCAGGTTCTGTGTTGCTGCGAATGGAAGAGTATGTGAAAGATTAATGGCTCTCAAGGGAAGTTACAAATGATCTTTGTCATTGCTTTTATAGCTGTCTATTGGGAAGACCTAGTCAAGCGTTTCAGCCTTTTCTTCCCCTTGCTTTGTATGTTGCTTCTGCTCATAATTTGTAGAGACCTGTTTGCAATTTAATGTTGAGAAAGTTATAATAGCTAAAAAAAAAAATGGTGTGGATTTTTTGTCTGTGTGGAGGAGGTAGGGAGGATGTCCCATGTTACGGAGTATACCTGTTGACATATTCTTGGTTCCTGTGCATTAAGAAATTGAGACATCTGTTAGTGAACCTCGCACACTGCCACTGAAAAGAGCTGAGACCCCAGGACATTTAAGCAGGTGGTAAATCATTTACTTTACTACTTTAATGAGTTTGCAGTTGAAGGTGTCCCTTCTGTGGCTGACAGTATGTGTGGGTCCTATTGAAATGTGTGACTAGTAGGTCAGTAGTGTAGTCTACTGCACTGCTGTTCTCCCTGTGAAGCTTGATTAAAAATTCTCCAGCAGAGATCAAATGCAAATATGTACCCTAGTGCTAGAAGTGAAGTCAAATGATGGTTTCTATACAGTAAAAGTTATCATTTACAGATATACGTAAATTCTAAGTTGAATGAAATAGTGTCTTTCCGTTAGCAGAGAATAGGTTTTCAGTTTTGCTTGGAATATTTGTAATAGCCTTTCACTATACAGTATTATTTCTTTAATGTGGTTTTAAAGAAGAAATAGGTATGTGATCAGAAGAGAATATATTTATGACTAATTGATGCTTTGCACTGTTAATTTTGCTTGTTGCCTCATAGTGTTTTGTTGCCCCTACCAGAGTATTACAAGGAGATTATGGCTTCTGAGCATCTGGAAAATCAGCTTTAGTAGATGCTGGTGCGCT